TATTTTAATGTAGATATCCCCCCATTATGACTATTTGTAGAGCGTAATAGGAAGATTATTTCCTATTCTTTGCTATTATACCATGGTTATTACAGTATTTATATTGCTTTGCCTTCCTTCATTCCCAAATAATAGCCTTGAGTAATGTTCTTTTTGTTTAAGTTTGGCAATATCTGTGTATAACTTTTAATGGTATTTGTTGAGGGTAGGGACTAAACTTTATATATATCCCCAAGATTATACAAGATAATTTAAATGAAAATACTTCTGTGCTTGTCAGTTTTTATTATTAGTCTGTTCATGAAATATTTTTTAGGATATATCAAAAATTTTCTAATAAGCTAGGTTTGGTGGCACACACTTTTAATCCCAGTACTTGGAAAGCAGAGGCAGGCAGATCTCTATGAGATCAAGGCCAGCTTGGTCTATATAGTGAGTTCCAGGCCAGCTGGGGCTACAGGGGACACCATGTCTCAAAGAAAAGAAAAAAAAAAGCCCCCAATTTTTTCTAATAAAATACTATTTAAGTTAGATAGAACTGGGTTTTTGTTGTTTTTTTTTTCTTTTTGGTTTTTTTGAGACAGGATCTCCCTGTAGCCCCAGCTGTCTTGGATCTCACTGTGTAGACCAGGCTGGCCTTGAACTCACAAAGATCTGCCTGCCTCTGCCTCCCAAGTGCTGGGATTAAAGGTGTATGCCACCATGCTCGGCTAGAGCTGTTTGTTTATTTATTTTTTTATTTTTTAAGGGAGTATTAATGTTTTTCTTCTTGGCAGTATCTAAAAAATTCTGTTTCTTTCAACAGGCAGGTATGTTTATTCCTAAAACGAGGTGCCAATCAGCATGCCACAGATGAAGAAGGGAAGGACCCTTTGAGCATAGCTGTGGAAGCAGCCAATGCTGATATAGTAACCCTGTAAGTCTTTCCCTTCCACTTATTCCCCATACACTGTGACTTGTACAAAGTATTAATGTATGGCTCAGTGGTTAAGAGCACTGACTGCTCTTGCAGAAGACCCAGGCTCGGTTCCCAGCACCCACATGGCAGCTATCAACCATCTGTAATTCTAGTTCCAGGAGATCCAATGCCCTCTTCTGACTTCTGTGGGCATTGCACTACATGGGTGCACTAATATGCATGTAGACAGTACACTCATACACATAAAATAAAGTAAAAAATAAAATAAAATAGTAAAAATTCTGTACACTGTAATTCTGAAAAAGGCAAAACTACAGGGCCATTAAAAAAAGAGAAAAAAAATCACCCCATAATCCTGGCCACTTCTTTTGTACTGCCTGACCAATAGAAACAAAACCAATGATGCCCCTAAAATGCCTTCTTTTCCTCTTAGTATAATACAAGGGTTAGGGTTAGGATTGGCAGAATAATAGGTAAATTATTCTAGTGCTTCAAGAATTAGAGGATTGTTAAGGAGAAAGGACAGCAGCATTTTAAAAGAGTTATTCACATGGGCAGTTAATTTTAAGACAGAGAACATGTTTTTAAATGTTTGAATTAAAGTTACTATGATCATTAAAGAGTTTAGAAGTTTTAAGTTGATTTGCATGTTAGAAAAAGTAGTGTGCAAACTAGGAGCTTGTAAATGTGATATTGTCAAGTGTACTTCATCTGATGAAGCTGGTGGAAGCATATTTTATGTTGTCACGTGATCATTCCATTTTGGGCTACATGATGCTGAGAACCAGTGGTCCTGTCTTTCCTGAGTAGACACATGCTGCTCTCTGTTTCAAAGAAACCCATGGCTGCCTTGACCCCTGAGCTCCTACTGAGAATTTCTGACTTGCCATGTTCCACCACTCCCAACCAGCTCTGCCAAATATGAAACACAACACTTTACCCATGGAGGGGTTATTGTTATCTTGGAGGATGTTTCAAGAAAATCCAGACTATTAAATCATCATAGATTGAAAATAGGAAAAAGTAGTTACTTTAAAAAAGATTGGAATAGTATAGAGAAACTAACGCTGGATGTAGCTTCCCAGCAGTTCTGATGTGAACCTTCTCGAGTGTGCACGTGCGTACACACACACACACACACACACACACACACACACACACAGTTCCTTAGATTGTCTAAATTACTTCATTTTACTTTGTGTGAGAACTTCAGTTTTACTCAAGAATTTTGTTTTAGAATTTGGATTTGTTTTTATTTTACGTGTATGAGTGTTTTGCCTGCATGAATATAAGTGCCCCATGTGTGTGCAGTGCCTGTGGAGGCCAGAAGGCAGTGTCAGATCTTCTGAAACTAGAGTTATGGATGGTTGTTAGTCACCATATGGGTGCTAGGAACCAAACCCAGGTCCTCTACAAGAGTAACCAGTGTGTTTAACAGCTGAACCATCTCTGCAGCCCCCAAGAATTTGTGTAAATAAGCATCTTTCTGAAAATCCATATAACAAAGGAATGCTGGGAGCCACCCTTAACTCACACAGTAGTTGATAGGAGAGATGAAGGGAAAAGTTAATGTCAGATGCTGCAGTTGCCAGAGAGCATGCCAGAAGAGAGGGCAAGAGCTCTGGGAAGCCTGCAGATCATTTCTGGTACAGAAAAAGAAGCAAGCAACACAGAGAGAATATTTACCTACTTCGAATGTTGCTGAAAGTTACTTTTTTGTTGTTTTTTGAGACAGGGTCTCACTATGTAGTCCTGTCTGGCCTCAATCTGATAGAGATCCGCCTGCCTCTGCCTCTAGAGTGCTAGGATTAAAGGAATGTGCTACCCACGCCTGACTCTAACATTACTTTTTTATTTTTATTTTTTTAATTTATCATTTTTCTTTTCTTTTTGAGACAGGGTCTCCCTGTAGCCCCAGCTGGCCTGGAACTCGCTTTGGAGACCAGGCTGGCCTGGATCTCATAGAGATCTACCTGCCTCTGCCCCCCAAGTGCTGGCATTAAAGGCATGTGCCACCATGCCCGGCCCTAAAGTTTTTCAAAAAGAAAAATATTTCTTTTCTTAATCCAGTGCTACATATTCTCCACTGCCAGGACAAATAGCTCCCAAAGACTCTATGGCTGGTATGATAGCCTTGGGAAAATTTGGTAGCCTATAGTTTGTTACAGTGTTTGTCTATCAGGGGGCTGGAGAGATGGCTCAGTGGTTAAGAACACTGGCTGTTCTTGTAGAAGACCCAGGTTCACTTCCCATCCATAACTAACAACCATCCATAACTCCATTTCTAGGGGATCTGATGTCTTCTTTTGACATCCATGGGCACAACACAAAATGGGTGCAATTACATACGTGCAGGCAATATGCTCATACACATAAAATAAAAATAATAAAATATTAAAAAAACAATGTTTGTCTATCAAAATATAGTCCCATTAGTTGGAAGTAACATGTTGCTTATACATTGGGAGCATCTCATCTCCTGAGGAGCCAGAGTGAACTGGTGACTATTGTTCCCACACTCTAGAAGCAGTATTGTCAGCGTTTAAAGTCCAGCAGGGGGCTGTAGGAACTGGGAATTCTCAGAAGCCTGGAGTGAGCAAGCTGCTAGTGGTGCTTCAGACAGCCTGCAAGAATAGAGCTGAGGTGTCTTGTAGAAATCTTTTACTGTCTTTGCTCATAAGAGTTCTATGAAGGTGAGATACAGTTATTTTTGTATCTCAGGTTGCTGGGCCTGGTAGACTGAAGTGAGTGTGTTTTACTTGGCAAACGCTGGTAAAGGAGGAAACTTTTTCATCAGCACATGTACTATCTACATATATAATTCATTTGTTTATGAGTGCTTATGTTGTGTTGCTTCCTCTCAAAGTTCTTCCTCTTCAATTTCAGGTTACGTTTAGCAAGAATGAATGAAGAAATGCGAGAATCAGAAGGACTTTATGGACAGCCAGGTCAATATTCTACTAATAACCATACTGAAATGCAGTATAAGAAATGTATTCAGGAGTTTATCAGTTTACAATTGGAAGATTCATAGTTCCTTAGCTAACTAATGTGGCACTATAGAGCTTTTATAATCTACTTGTAAATTGTGAGTTGTTAGCTTATGTACTGTACTTACTGAATTCTTGGATGGCTAATCCTGAGCCTTTAAAAACTCATTCCTGTTTCTACTACAGTGCACAAACTTCCTATGTTTAACTCTGGCTGCTGGCTTCCTTATGTGCTGTAAAGAAGTCTTCCATATACATTCCAGTGAAGCCAATGGAATGATGAAAGTATTCCAGTATACGTACAGCAGCAAAATTGTAGTTTTCTTTTCAGAATTCTTTTTAGCTGTCAATTCAATACAACAGAATGATTTGCTTTTTGTTATTCAGGGAATTTCTATAAGTTGTGTTCAGGGAAAAAAAATCACTATGTGTTTTGTATATAAAATGTTAGCATGGAAAATACCAAGAAAAACGTTTATTGATGAGTTTTGTATTTCA